ATCTGGCAACATTGAAACAAGTTTCGAGAAGGACCACGTGTATCGACAGAAGGCGAGAAGAGAAAATTTACATACTTAAGTACTAATAGTTCACGAAAATAATAATTTTCGTGAACTATTATTACTTAAGTATGTAAAAATTTATTACATTTCATGTTGTACGAGGGTTTTACCCAATTCTCGAACCGTGTCAGAGTGAATCCGTGCTATAAAAGTACCGTGTTATACGGGGGTTACCTGTACTCGGGCCTTTTGTCCCTAAGACTTTCATATCTAGTCTCGACGTTTATTTATCTAATGCCGTTCTCGTAATTCTTGAAAGACTGAGTGACAAACGGCCAGACGGACGACACTGAGAATTTATAAGTCTATAATTTTTTCAAATTACAGTTTAATATTTTCGCAAGTCAGTAACAAAGTGTTTTCACGCCCATTGTTTGATAAGCACCGAATATTTTGTAATGACAAATTACGACAATATCAACAGACACTCGGCAACTGTAGTGATTAATGCTTTATTTATACACATTCAAGAATGTAATATTATTGCAGTATTTTCTATTGTAACATTCAAATTGGTTTTTAAAGCAAATTCGAATGTGTAGATAGTATATAAGGGAAAGTGGTGCAAGATGGAGCCATGGGGTAAGATGGGGACGTCTGTTTATTCGTGGTTAACGTGCTTAACCACGAGAATTCCACTTACGTACCAAGTGAACTTAACTTTTAATTTCAGGTACCAAAAATCGCATACGCGTTTACATACACAAATTCACAATTTGTTTAGAACTATGAATGCTTATGAGAAGAGAATAATAGAAATCAGAAGAGACTACACAGTTGGGCAGAAGAAAATATTAATAGACTTCTTGTCTGTGCTTGGTTGTATTCAAACAGTTGTTTCTATGTAGGCACATTATACACTACACTACAAAGATTTATTAGAGCCTACTGTACTGTATTATGAGTTAATAGTCAAGGCATGTTCTTTTTGGAATACGCTTATCAAAACAATCTTATACGCTTTAAGTCGAGTCCGCGGAAAAATACATTTAAAATTAATATTTTCAATTAGGATAATACATGTATAATTTATTAATAATTAAATAAATTTTATAAATAATTTACAATTTAAAAATTNCGCGCCATAATTCATATATAGAATAAATGATAATCTTTTATTGTATGTGGCCCTGTTTGTAATGAGTAATTTCACACGAACTGGTGACCACAGAGGGGTTCCCAGGAAACGAGGGTAAAGGCATGGGATGAACTGGAGACTGTTACAAACGCTGGAATATTATTGTCCTTTTTATTAGGCCTATTATTTATAAAATTTTAGGGATTTTGAACGAAATTTACACGAGAATTTTTAGAAGGGCAATAGTAGGATCCAGACAAGATGACGGAGTTAGCGGTGAACGACAATATGATTGGCCGTTGAACCTAAGGATAATAGGACGACGGATGTGGAACATCTGAAGGGTGCTGATCTGAAAATCGAACTAAGAAGATTGAAAACAACAAGTAGCCGCTTCTTAAACATATACTTTTTTAAAAATATATATCTTTTATTTTAAATAAAAATCCAATGGTATTAAATTATAATAAAAAGGTTTATTTAGGANATTCGCACCAGAATTTTTAGAAGGGCAATAGAAGGATCCAGACAAGATGGCGGAGTTAGAGGTGAACGACAATATGACTGACCGTTGAATCTAAGGATAATACGACGACGGATGTGAAACATCTGAAGGGTGCTGATCTGAAAATCGAACTAAAAAGATTGAAAACAACGAGTAGCCGCTTCTTAAACATATACTTTTTTTAAATAAAAATTCAATGGTATGAAATTATAATAAAAAGGTTTATTTAGAAAAAAAAACATGTAATATAAAATTAACAATCAAGTAGTACAGTACAAAGAGTGTAAATGAAAATGTACAATACCAGTACGACGTTTAAAACTGTTAATTGGAGGCATTTTTAATGCTATTACAAAAAATGAGTTATTGCACAATCAAATAAACAGTTTTTATCCCGTAAAAACCAAACATAAGTAACATCGACTACACTGAAATCACAAGAAAGTTTTTTCGTTATTTTTAAAATTAAAATTTTTATTAAAATTTTTATTAACTCTTTTAAGTTTACTTAATCGGCAATTTCGGGCTCAATTAAAATATTCTTGCCTTTTAGGATTTCGCAAAATATTTTACTATTGAATACGCTGCTAGGAATTGGCGGTCGTACCGGTGCGTACTATATTTTACCTGTGGTTTAAGTAGGTCTTCAGAGAAGAAGCCCAGAGGTTCGAGGACAGAATTATATTTTTGTTAAAGAGCAGCTTCTATTGCGAAGTCTTACTCATCCACGATCATTGGAACATCAGATGGATTTCTGAGTATTTCACGTTATCCTAAAGACATTTATAAAGACACCGACAACGCAATACATCTGGAAGAATAGGTAATTCCCAATCTGTTCCTAGAAATAAGAATCGATCAATATGAAGTGTCTTGTGTGAATTGAAGTTTGATGACGAAGTTTCTCTGCAAGAATACACAAAAAAGTATCATTAACGAACAGTTTCTTTAATGTTGAAAGTATTTAAATACCACTTCATTTATTATTATCTTTGTTGAGTTCTTTCGACTTTGCTCTTTGCATAAATTAAAAGAATTTAAATAAGATTTTGTCATTTTAATTTTGTTGATTTTCATTAAATCATAGAAACTGATTTCATATAAAATCATTTATTTTTCATTTTTCAAATATTACGTACATAAAAAAATTTAGAAACAAATTCTTTGCTGGAATAACTTTAAATAGAACGTCTACAGTAATTAAAAACAATAAATCCAAAACTCGTTTGCTACTTGAAGAGAGTAAAAAGCCAAAATGCTTAAAATATAATTTTAAAAGTACTTTGTATTATACATTTGAAAACATGAGGAACAATATGAATGTGACAGAGAAAATATCTGAAATTAGCCAAAAGTCATTTGAGAAAACAGGAATAAAACACAAATATATCTCTGTGTTTCCAACTATTCTTCTGTTTAGATCACGCGCATTTAATTACTCTCGGACAACAATAAAATTCTATAACATTATTTCAGTGCATTGTTGTTTTATATTCAATTGAAAAAACTAAATTTAGAACATTTATTATTTAAACTAAATTAATTAAAATCTGAAATGGTAAGTAAAACGTTTACTTTGTGAAACAATTTTAATTTGTTTTTGAAAAATTACTGACAGAACACCTTCAATCTTAATCACGTATTGTGTCTAGAGTACATATTATAGATTTTATCATATTTTAATATCTGATAATCATTTATATTATTATAAATAATTTACATTTAAATTTTTAGTAATTACTTATTTTTACCTAATGGAAATTTTTAAAAGGAAAGAAAACATCAATGCCCGGATTCACAAAAAATGAGAAACCGTTTAAATGCGAATTCTGCGGAAGACGTTTTACATGGAACAGCAATTTAACGCGGCATCTGAAATTGCATTCGAAGGAAAAGCCTTTCAAGTGCAATTGCAATGGCTGTAAATGGAGCTTTAAACGGGAAGATGAATTAGAACGACACCAGTTCTCATGGCATGGTGAAGAGATTTTATCTAAAGTAAACATTACGATAAGTTTTTATATTTTCATTTTAATATTTCGATTCCCAAAGCGATCAGTTATAAAAAAAAACAACCACAATAAAAGCTAATAGAATTATACAGAACACTTAATTTATTTTGTAAACAATATTCAATGTTACTTTGCTAATTTACAAAAACATGTGAGCCGCCAGGGAGGTCGGAAACCGTCGACTCTCCCTTTTCGGCAACAGGTCGTTAAACTTACTCACGTGTCATGATGGCTAAATTTCGAATGCGGTCCCGAAGGGTTGGGATGCTTTTTGTCAGGTCGAGTGGAGGAGGTGAGAGGGGTCGTCGACGTGGCGTAGGCGATATACGAGTAGACAACACCATTTAACAATGAGAAGAACAATTTATTAGACTAACGAAAAGGAAAAAAAATTAAAAAATACAAAAATCTAACATCAGGGAAGTGAATTTAGTTCACTAGCTCCTAACTCGCGGAGAGAGAGTTTACATTGATTTGTTTCATACCTCTAGGTTACTTCCACGTAGGCACAGAGTTCGACGCACAAATTTAAAGGTAAAGTTCCCGGAGACTTAATCCTTTTAGATCGTAGATGTGAGACGCCCCCGAGGAGGGGGAAAGAAGTCGCTTTTATAGCTTCGGACTGGGAAAATCAGTCATGTGATCACCTATTGTGAGAGGTAGGGTTGGTCCTGCAGGTGTGGAGGTTAAAGTTGTTCCCGGGACCCAAAACAAAATAACGAATTCGGACTTTAACTATAAACTCTTTTGTTTTGCAGCAGAGGAATAANTACCAAAATGATTAATTTACTGTGTTTTTGTTATTTATTACTCCTGTTTTTAGGTATTCGGTATTCGGCCGAATAGTGATTAAATATTCGGTATTCGGCCGAATAGTGAAAAATAGGTCGAATAGGCCGAATACCGAATAGTAACAGAATATTCGTTACATCACTAAATATTATTCAATGAAAATTCGTACTAAATTTTAACCGAATGTTCGAACCGTTTTAAATTCGAATTTGTTATTGCATATTGGTTCGATTATAGAACGATTGATCAAATTCAAAATAGTTAGTTTGATTTTCGGCAATTATATTTAGTAGAATTCTATGACTTAATGCTCTACCCTCCCCCCGCGGGGAAATTTTGAAAAATCCTTTCTTAATGTGAATTCCCATGGCATTCCCTACTAAAACGCATATAAAAAGAAAAAATCGCATTTAAAATAGTACAGTAGAAGCCGTGAGTCAGTCAGTATAGAATAGCTTGTTTTATGTTAGATCTTCCCTATGTATGAATGGGGGTATCAAACAAATAAGCCTGTATAAGTGGATATCCAACAGATCTATAACAGGATTAGTATTATAGGCGATACTAACATAAATACTATTGTATTTATGTTAGATCTTCCCTATGTTATAACAAACTACTAATAACTACTAGCACGGTTTCAAAGTACCAGGCTTCTACTGTACTATTTTAGATGCGATTTTTTCTTTTTATATGCGTTTTAGTAGGGAATGCCATGAGAATTCACATTAAGAAAGGATTTTTCAAAATTTTCCCGCGGGGAGGAGAGGTAGATCATTAAGGCTTAACCGGAAAAACGGCTTCTACTGTACTATTTTAGATACGATTTTTTGTTTTCAACTACGTTTAGTCTTCATTGAGTACTTAGGTGTATTAAATTGATAACATTTCAGACATTGTTATAANATGATTTCCTGTTTTAATTTCTTAGTAAAGTGTTATTGAGTGATGCCTGTCTGGCGGTACTTGGTGATATATAAATATATTGGAGAAATGAAAACGTCATACTATATTAAGAGATTAATTCATTACACCAGGAAAAAAAACACAACTATTTCCATATTATAAGAATTAAATAATCATACATTTAATTATTACTTATTTCTAGTTTATTTGTTATAAACAACATAAACTATGATTTGTATTAAATGTAATACAAAAGGCAACTTTGGGTCTTTATGACACGAAACGTATAAAAATCAGTTAAATCGAGTAAGAAATTAAGAAGTTTTCGTTTATTATTATGCATATTAAGATGGAAAAATGAACTACCAATTGATACATCACTAAATTTAGGAAATGAAGTATTTTCATCTGAAATCAGTTTGAAATGTGTCTGGATGGGAAATGATCCCATGGCACTTTGACAAAAGTTGAATAATAAAAATAAACCAAAGTAATAAAATAACATGTTCTAAAAAGTACTTTTAAACACTTCTTACATAATTTTATTAACGAAATACATAAAATTATGAAATTACAGGTAACACCCGTATAACACGGTAGTTACGTTCCAAAAAATTGCCGTGTTATGCGAATCCGTGTTATACGAAACAAAGAACTAATACGAAAAGGAGGGTTAGGTTCCAAAAATTAAAAAACATGCTAGTATATTTTCATAATTAAGATAAATATCTTCATTAAAATTTTTTTAAGTGATACATATTAATATAAATTAAACAATGTTTTCTTCGTCATCACTAAAAACACTATTAATTAACCGAGAGCGTTTTCTTTTTGGCAAGTTATCCTTATCCTCTGAGCATTTTTCTGCATTATCTTCAGATCCATGCTTTACCTTTTGCAAAAT